CCCCCCCAGCTTTTTACCGGTCTACTGCAAGAAACGCTTTCCCCCCCACCCGGTTTCGGAGCGGGAGTGCCGGGAAGCCGCAGCCTTGTCTTTGGAATGCGGCGGGGATTGCACCACATGGCAGGTGGCACTGAAACATTTTTGCAGGGGAAGATAATCATGTCCCAGCTTCCCCCCCCAGCCCCCCCGCCGCCTCCCGAATGATCTCATATAGACATATTTCACCGGGCCTTCTTGCAGTTAGTAGGTGGGGGTTGGAGAGGGATGGAGGCTGGCAAGTCCCCCGTAGCTGGCTTTGCAGAGCTCTTGTCCCAGTTTTCTTCTGGACCTGAAGGAGAGATTATATTTGCAGCAATTATATTTTTAACTGGAGCCTGTTGATAGGCAGGGAGGGTTAGAGGGAAGGCTGCGAGGGCTGGGTTTGCATCCCTGATTTCCTCTGGGTTTGCAAGTATCGATACTTTCTTGGCAATAGGAGATGAACACAGGAAAGCTTGTTTTATTGCTGCAGAATGACAGAGTTGCTGCAGTATGCGCTGCCTGGGAGAGTAAAGTCCTGGTGTGTCCTGCAGAAATACAGAGAGCTTGAAGATAAGAGCTTAGTTTTTAATGCTTACCTAATGGGAGCAAAACATGACAGGTTACATGTGTGTGCAAAACACAATACTTCCTTAATTTGTAGTTTCTCTGCTGAAGTATGTTGGATCGTTAAATGTAAATTAACTGGGCTCTATGTGTTGTTTAATCTTAAATACGAGGTTGTATTTGAATTGTTTTGACAGACTTTAGCATTCATACAGTAGAGCTGTATAAAAGTGTTCAGAGATGACTGTGTCCTCTTATGAAGAAACGTCTTCCATACGGGCATTCTGGTTTTTATTCCCTCTTCTTTGGTGCTGTCAAAGTGTGATCAGAATTTTCAAATATGGGTGTGTAATGATCACACATCTGCTCTGCTGCTGTATTTGAGAAGGTGTGCATATTTTTTATTAACATAATGTGCAAATTTATATCACAAGTATAATTTATGTTTTACCCTGGGGAGGGATGCATATTGAAGTCCACCAGTAAAGAAAGGGACTTGCTTTGCATGTGCTGCAGTTTTGAAGAAATAAAGTTCTCAGCTGTCCTTAACCTGTTATCAAATTGTTAGTAAGCTCAGCTTAAATATCACACATTTCTTAAAACTGCTGTGCCCCAAATATGCAAATACTTATATTTCATGAAAGGCAAAGAGTGGTCAATTTTAGAGCAAGATTAACCAATGTAGTTGCTGATTTTTTTTTTTTAAAATAGAGGGGTTTAGTTCTGGTGAAAGAAGGGTCTCGCTGCCAGGCTGATAAATGCCCCCAAAGTGCCACAGAGTTACGTAACTCCCCAAATCTAATAGGAAATGAATTTGCTCAATGCCTTGTCAATGGCATTTTTATGGTTGACCCCGCACCATCTGGCCCGTTCCTCTTCTGTTTCCCCCCCCTCCCCACGACCTCCATTGTGTGTGTGACACTTCCAAAGTTTGTCATCACGAATTTCCTGTTTTGCTGTGTCAAAACTTTCAAAGATTGAGCAACTGTGTTCAGAGCAGCTGAAACAATTCTGTATTGGAAGTGATTTCAGACATGTGGCACATGAGTCTCTTTGCAGTCTGTGTTAATGGGTTTTGTATGTTCTTCTGAAAATATGTTTCAGAAAAGATACTTTCCATATCACTAGTCTTTCTGAATGTCAGAATTAAAAAAATCCACCAAAAGCAACAAACAAAAGATCTTGCCCATATAAATATGTAATTTTATTAAGTTGCAAATGGCGATGCACAGTATTTAGGATATTCCTGCAATGACTTGTTCCACTCTCTGTCCCTTTAGAGAGTTTTTTTTTTTCTCCCCTCTAAAAAGTTACCCGATTTCAGTTGAGACTTTGCATTTGACCTCTGTGTTGGGATAGTAAATTGTGAGGTTTTAATCACCCTTAAACTGAATGGTTAAGTATATGTCTCTGTGTGTGTGTCTAGTGCCTTATTATATTAGAATGTAATAAAATGCGCTGTTGTTTATTTAGTTGTCAAGATGAGGTATTTTAAAAAGAGGAATTTCTAGAAAGTGTATGGTGGGGGGGAATTAATAAAAAAGAAAGAAGCCGGGAGATGAATCATTTAGACTATGGAGCTGTCTGTTGTAGGCTGCTTTATATGTCTAATGTGAGTATGACTCGAAGCACCCTAATATAAGAACCTGAGCAGGCAGCTTAAGGCACCCGAGGTTTGTGCTTAAACTTAGAGCAAATATTCCAGTGATTTTGGCGGTATTGTGTGCCGTGCTGGAAGAAGGGCGTTCAAACAGCCGATTTGGGTATTTTTCAGGATCCGTTTTTAAAAACTGAAAGTACACAAAGATGCAAGCAGGGATTCAGTTCCAAGACTTCAAGAAACATCGCTATGTACCCCCAGATTGTTCATTACTAAGTCACATAACAATTGCTGTGACATCTGGTGTGTGAAATGGTGTTCCGTTTACTCTTGCAACAGTTTTGTATATTCACACAAATGCAGTCTTTTGCATGAAAAGGATTTTGTAACAAGGTCTCCACAAAAACACATGTGGGTTCCTGAAGTCTTTTAATACTTCTTGTAAGGAGAGGAGCCTGGATACTGCAGCGTCTCACAGCGGGGAGTTGCTGAAGGGAGATGGGATCGATGGGTGACTTGGGGTTTGCTGGAGCATCGCTTCAGTTCTGGTGTGTGCTGGGGGGAAGTCTCAGCAAACAGCTCTGCACCGAGCAAAGGGGTGTTCAGGTGATCTTTGCCACCAGTTTCTAAAGTGCTATGAAATCACACTCTGTATGCTCTTAGGAGTTTACTCCATTGTTGTTATTTTTTGCAGCAGTTCTTTGTGTGTTGTGTTGATACCTTTCTAAAAGAAGGGGTTTGGGTTAATTGCTTTGCAGGCTGGCTGTATTTCTTTATTTAATTTGGAAAGAAATTAAACAGCCAAGACTTACTCTTCCCCAGAATCTTGCATAAGAACTGTCAGGTTATATAGCCCTTCCAAAACCAGTGATTTCTTCTCATTCTGACCCATAGTTGTACCAATGCTGCCTCTGAATTCCCTGGGTATTATGAAGATACTGATATAATTCCCCTCTTTTTAAACTAACAGAGAAATACTATGGATTTAATAACTTTTAAAGCATTAGGCTCCAGAGGAAATGAGGTAACAACCCTAAATATCACCTTTGTAGTAACATTTCCTCTGTGGAATCTTCTTTTTCCCCACTGGGTTTTTAGGCTTAGTAATCCTTTATCAAAGTGTGTGAGTGCTTCCAAGGTATGTGTGCACTTTGAGGGACAGGTGCCTGCTTCTCCAGGAAGGTGTGGTAGATACGTGCGGAGTGATTTGAAAAGAACCATAAAGCCGAGTGGGATGAAGCAGCCATACAGGTAGGATTAGCGGAACACACGTGGGGAAGGGGGATGGAGCAAGAGAAGGGCAGGCACAGAAAGGCCCTGAGCTCTGAAGGCGAAGGCGAGTAGTTTGAACTTTGAGGGTACTTTGTATATTAAGAAATAAAATTATTGAGAGCACATCTGTCCCATAGAGAGATTTTTTAATTGCAGCTTTCTTAGAAGTAGAAGCCAATGTAACAGAGGAGAATAAGATTCACAGCTTTTTATAGTGTTGAGAGGAAAACTGATTGAAATGCATGTACAGACTGAACTCACATGTAATGGGTGTTAATGATAAACTGTCAGGTACCAAGAACTGTGGTTTTTTTGGTCTGTAACTAGGGCTGCATAAATTAACTCCAAAGGTACCGCTGACGAGATTCAGTTAGCTTGGGGGTTTGCAGAGGCGCTACTGATGAGCAGTATATATACTACTTCGCAACATAGTCTTTGCACAAAAATTAACGTGCTGATTATCTAATGTTTAAATAAATTGCACTCTTAAGTAATTCTGCATATACTTCAGTTCCCCAGACTACTTCACATGTTACGTCTAAGAAGACAGAAGTTGAATCACTGGATAAATTCTCTAAAATAATAGTTTTAGTCTAGCTCTTATGTTCTGGATGGAGTTCAGGGTAGCTCAGAATTGTGGTTTTAGCTCACTTGGAGTGAGACAAATGCAGTTTATGTGCTGTAGCGTGATACTATGTAAGAGGTTAAAACACGTGGAAGCTGTGATAAATTCTGAATTTGTCCTGATCTTGTTTTAAAAGGGATTTAGAACTGTGGATCGTGCTATTTGTTCCCAATTGGGCTTTTTTAGCTGAAATACGATGAGTGTAATGCAGCTGTTTTAAGCCTGTGATGAAAACTGGCTTAGTGTTCTTTAAAATGTTCTGCAACATGACAGCTGTGCTGTAGCTCTGCGTTCTGTACTCCTGAAAACCATTAGCACTTATCTGTAGTGGCAGAAAATCAGTCAGCCTGCCTTTATCTGTAGGGAGATAATCTTTAGGCCTCAAATGTGACCGAACTTCAAATTCTTCAGGCTCCAAGAGCAACTCTGGGTTGCGAATGCGCAGTAAATACAACATTTGCTTTCCTGGGCTTGTGCTGGTTAAACAGTTCCTTGGTTCTGCTGATTGCAGTTCTCCTCGGAGGTTGTACCTCTACTACAGTGGCACAGTGACTTGATATGACCCAAAAAATGTCATTTAAAAGGTGAAATTCAATTTCCTTTGGACTCTGAAATAGCTTGTGACGTGGCTGAAAATCTTCTCTAAAGAGAATCTTGGGGAAACAAAGAGAGAAGTGTGACTCTGGCTGGGAATCACAGAATGATATGGGGTTGGAAGGGACCTCTGGAGATCATCTAGTCCAGCCCCCTGCCAAAGCAGGTCCACCCAAAGCAGGTTACACAGGAATGTGTCCAGGTGGGTTTTGAATCTCTCCGGAGACAGAGGCTCCAACACGTCCCTGGGCAGCCTCTTCCAGGGCTCTGCCACCCTCAAAGTGAAGAAGTTCCTCCTCATGGTTAGGTGAACTTCTTATGTCTCTTGTCCTGTCCCTGGGCACCACTGAATAAAGACTGGCCCCTTCCTTCTGACACCGACCCTTTAAGTATTTATAGGTGTTGATCAGATCCCCCCTCAGCCTTCTCTTCTCCAGACTAAAAGGCTGCAAGTCCCTCAGCCTCTCCTTGTAAGAGAGATGCTCCAGGCCCCTCATCATCTTTGTAGCCCTTTGCTGTACCCTCTCTAGCAGTTCCCTGTCCTTCTTGAACTGGGGAGCCCAGAACTGGTCCCAGTGCTCCAGATGTGGCCTCTCCAGGGCAGTGCAGAGGGGGAAGATGACCTCCCTCCACCTGCTGGTCACACTCTTCTTGATGCCCCCCAGGATGCCACTGGCCTTCTTGGCCACAAGGGCACGTTGCTGGGAAGGTGGTTAAAATGCAGGGGATCACCTTCTTGTCAGGATGAAAGAGATACTGGTTATTGCTGCCTTTTGTATGCAAAGTGTTAGAAAGCTGGTAAAGATTCATGACTAATTCAAAACAGCACGTGTTGAATTATGATGACTAATCATATTTTTGCTCTAAGTCCTAGAAAGCACCTTCAGTATCATTAAAATATTGTCATATAATTACAGCCTGAATTATATATGTTTGTATATTGCAAAATGGTGTACGTGAAGCTTTAAAAAAAACCTTGAATTTTATGTTTCCTGAAGTGTTGCAGCTTAAATATTGATATTTCAGTGGTTTGTGAAGTTTAAAAAATGAATGCTTATTGGCTGCTTTTGTCTGCGCAGGCCAAGCAAAGTATAAAGGATAACTCCTATGTGGAAGTGGTTGATAAAGGGAGTTCTTTGGGACAGTCTGGTGTAGCTTGAGTAATGCAGCTGTGACAGTTTGATGGTCCTGTGACCTTCTGGATGGCTGTGTCTTCCTGTCTTTTCCAGAGAGCTCTTTCCATTGTGTGTGTGGAGGTGCCCCTATAGAGAAGGAGATGCTCCTCTTCCATCCTGCACAGTGGGTTTTTCCATCCTCCTGGAGCACCCAAGGGAAGGATTGCTCTTTGTAGAAACAAGCTTGTATTTTATTCTCTATTTCTCGTAAGCCTCGTATAGCAAGTTCCTTGGAAACTGAACAACTTTGAGATAAGGAGTCTTTTTGCAAGTTAATTCTAATTAGTTGCTTTAAAAATAAGTGGTAACTGCATATATTTCAGATAGCTTCCTTGGCGGGGTGAGGGCTGTATGTGCAATCGTGGGTTTGTTCTAGGACTGCTTTTGTGATTTGGTTTGGAACTTTCTGTTCATTAAGATGCTTCACACTTCATGTTTGTAAATGTATAGCTTTCCTTTTCACTTGATGTTTATCAAGAACTAGTGTATATTCACTTTTAAATGGAATCAGGAATTTGCCCTGAATCAAAAACGCAGCAGGAAAATAAACAATTATTGTCCTTCTCTGACTTTCTCAACTCCGTATTTTCCCCTTGTTTGTTATCTTGAATCAAGCGTAACCTTGATTTCACATCCTCTCTTCCTCCTCCTCCTTCCATTTTGACAAACCAGAGCTGTTTTAGATAAGAACATCAAATAAGAGAAGATCAAGAGGAGTAATTTACAGCTAAATACCTATTTATTTAGTTCCTCACATATGAGTCCTAAACTCTGGAAGATTTTATGTGGTGTATCAGAATTTTATCATAGTTCTTCATGTGCTAAATTACTGGTTGTTTTAAAGCTTTTGCTTCTTAATATTATTAATAAATAGGTTTTAATAGGACTTACTTCAAAAGATTATTTTACAGTGCAAAATATCAACTGTATATATAGAGTTACCAAATAGGATGGACTTGGTCTTCATGGATTCTAAGAAGAAATTATACATAAAACCTGTACATATAAATAAGTTCCTACTAAAGGGACAAGTTTTAGTAATGTACAGCTAAATATCACATGCATTTTTGTATAGCAGGAGTTTAGGATTAGATGTGATTTACCATCATAGTTGGAATTTATTAGATACAGGGCTTGGATTTGTGTATGGTTTTAAGCCATAAAGATAGTTTCTTAAGCATAGCATTTTCTGATGAAATGTAGTGTATGAAAATATGTTTAGGAATACAGATAATATTTACAAGTCCTCTTCTTCTCTCCAGAATCTTATCGCCATATTTATGTTTGAGCACTCTCTTTTTAGACAGAAATATTATAAACATTTTTTTCCTACAAAATTTCCCTTTACTATGTGAACAAGACTCATCTGGTAAACACATTCTGCAGAAACCAACAGTTGTGTAAATATGTGGGGATTTGCCGGGGGGATGCAGGTTGTGGACCAGGATGCCTAGAAACTATTTCCAATGGAGAAATGGTGTGAACTGTGACTCAGTGCGTAGATAGCCGCTGTCAGGAGCTGCTAAGTAGACTTGAAGGTGCTTATGAGGAATTCATTTTGATAATTTGATTATTCTTTATTGTAGTTCTGCCTTTGACACCAAAACTGGCTTGCGTGTGGCTGTAAAGAAGCTGTCTCGACCATTTCAGTCCATCATCCACGCCAAAAGGACCTACCGAGAGCTACGGCTACTTAAGCACATGAAACATGAAAATGTAAGTGCAAGGCGATGGTCTGAAAAGCTAGTCTGGAGTCGGACTATCCAGTGAGGATCCAGCATGATTGCATTTAAGAACCTTGTTGCGTACATTTTTCTAATAGAAATACAAAGCTTGGAGTATTCTTAGGGATTGTGGTTTTAGAAAAGCATACAGATTATAAAAAAAAACAACCAGAAAACCAACCAACAAACCAACCCCAAACCCTCCATATAACCAATTTTGTATTATAAAATCTTAAGATCTCCTAGAATCATCTGGAAATTACTGCTTAGCAGGTTCATGCTGTCCTAAGGATTCAGGACACAGGTGATGTCACATTCTCCTACTTGCTTGCTGTAGTTTTTGTAAAAAAGAAAATCTCAAAGTTTGTTTTTAGTGTCATCTGGGGGGGTTTCTCATAGTTGTTTGTTTTGGTTTGTCTGTGTCAGAAGAGAGGGGGAGTAGATGTTCACAAGATTCCTGTAGGTAAAATAGGGAGGAAAAGAGGACGGGTGTGTGTGTTGGGGGGGGAATCAGCTGGCTTTTCATACAAACCATCTGCTGAAATCATCAACAGGGAAAATAGGATGTGACAAATGTTACCTTGAACTGTTGTTTGATATCACCTCCCATTTGGTATAGAAACCAGTAAGTTGACCAGTTCTGTGTGGCTGTGACATTAACGCACTAATGTATTTCTATTGTATGCTGCTTGGAGCAAATATTACATGCCATGGAGCAAAAAGTCATAACCCGTCCTCTGTAGAGCTGTCAGAATGTCGAGAGGAGAGGAAAGGAAGGCTCTTGATTTCCTTTGTCCAAACTCCAATTTAGCAGAAGGAACTACTGTTTTGGGTGCAGACCTAGCAAATGCAGGACCTTTATCGGGCACAAAAGGCCAAAGGAGCCTAATTGCGTCAGCAGCTTCTCCTTGGAAGGGCTGTTTCAGGACTCCTTGTGTTGTGGCAGTGGTGGTTGTGTGTTGTGGCTTCTCCCCACTGCAGTCAGCAGCGGGTATCCCTTAAATCTTCCTGGTGTTTTTAGTGTGGTGAGCGTAATTGGAACTTGTACTCTTGTCAACAATACTTCCTTCGTGCCTCTGGACCACACCGTTGTCTCAACAGCAGAGGTGGCATTTCATCCTGGTTAATATCCACCCCCTGGAGTTTTTTCTGGGCCTCTTCTTGTACCTAAGATATTCTCCAAACAGGAAAGCTTTGAATATGTGTTACCAAAAAAATATATTAAAAATAAATCAGCATATAATTCCATTTTATCTAAGCTAATAAGGTTGAGTAATGAAAATTATATTGTGACTGGTCCTGCAACAGTTCTCTGTCTGGCATTCATTAATGTTTTTGGATAAGTACTGCAAAGAGCCTATGTAGCTTTGAGATAAAAGGAAGTTAAGTTGTTTATATATAGAAATATTTATTATCAGCTTATTGTGCCGTCATCTCTCTGTGGGAAGTTTATCTAGGTTGTGGTTTAAAAAATCCTGCGGATGCTGAGATGTTCAGGGCTAGTTCAGGCAGCCTTATTGGCGCTGGTCTCTTGGCTACTCAGATCTCAGTTCGGAAGTCAAACGCTTGGTTTTACGTGGCACAGAAAACAGCAGCAAATCTGGAAGGTGTCATGGTTTTAGGGGCTTGAGCAAAGGATGATTTTCTATATCCTGTGTCTACTCTGGCTCACGATGATCTTGAGCAACTAAATGGAACCACAGAGCACTCCAGCTTGTCTGTGTTATACTTGTGAGTTCCAGGAGGCCTTGTGTAAAGCACAGCACTCAGCAGATGGGAGACCAAATGGGATTGTTGTCATACGGAGAAATTAATAAGCTCTGTCGCATCCTAAAACGCTGGGAGGGGAAAGCAAAAGGTTAGGAGTTGGGATCTGAATCTACTGGTGTTCACGCTTCCTCAGAAGCGAGACAGCGATATGCTGCACAAAAGCTATATTTAAGCATTTGTGAAACTCGCTGAAAGATACAGATAGTTTGATACTGTGCTTTGCAGTATAGCAAGATAAAAATGGTAAATGAAAAAAACCTTAGGTCTAGATAGCAAAGTCAGGTTTTGTCTTTCCACACTAAATTTTGTGAATAATGTTGTGGGGTTTTCTTCTGTAAAAACTGATATGAATCCATTGGAGAAATAAATGGGAAGCATGAGAACTGTTGTGCAGGATGGATGTGAATGTTAGAGTTTGAAGATGATGTCTGTCTGGAAATGGAGTTGCTGCGATATATATTGAGAGAGAGGAAAGTGTTCTCTCTCCAGTTTCCTCAATAAAACACAATCTGTAGTGTATAATATAGATTAGACAGAGGCTTCTATTTCCTACCCACTTGCTCTCTTTTCCAAAAACATAGTCTAGGTTCCTCAAAGATTTTGGCTTTAATTCTCTGCTGAGAGATAACTGGGTTGAGCCTGACGTCCCTGACAAGTGTAAACAGTGGGGAAAAAAAGGATGGTGTGAAGGGGAATGTGGGAATCCAGCTCGGGGTCTCACATGCTCACCTGAACTACTGCTGACGCTGCTGAAATGTGTACGATGCTTGTGTCCCCCAAACAAGTGAGATGCTGAGTTAAAAACTGAAGAGGAGTTTTTTGGGATGGATGAAGAGAACCTGTCCCTTTATCTCTTACAATTATAAAATCTTATTTGTTATTAAGAGGAGGAAAATAAGGTTTAAAAACACATTGTGGAGAAAATTAGAACAGTCTTCATAGACCAGATGGATTTAATTTCTGCTCTTTGGGCAGAAAATACAAATGACAGTGTGAAACTGTTTGTCTGTATTGGGTCCTTAGTGCATTGCACTGTTTTCCTGGCTCATTTTCTAGTGTAGTCATTATTATTCAATCCTTGTGTTACAGATCCTTGATTTTTTTTCTAGCCATTACTCAATACAAATCCAGTCTCCCAATTCTGATTGTAGTGTGTAGGCAGTGGTGTAACTAAGAATTGAGCAGGAAGCAAACAGTGGTTTGGGGTTGGGGTTTTCTTGGTTTTGTTTTTGTTTTTCTCATCCATTTATTTGCTGAACAAGCTTTAGTTGGTTTCTGAAATAAGATGTTCTAAACCAGTGTTTACACCTGCCTTTGTTTCAGCTCCTGTTTGAGCCTGTGAGCGGTTGGCTGGTGTGAAAAGACAGCTGTATTTTTTAACCTGAATATTTTTTCTTTACACGAGAATTGAATGTTTGTTTCTGGCGTTGCATGAATGCTAATTTGTCTACAGCTGAGTGATTCATGTCGTTGGAAATGAAACATGTACTGTGATGAGTAGTGTCTGTTCCACACAGGATCTTGGTAACTGTATCGTATTATACTGTCATTGTATTTCACAGCTTTTTCACTTTACTGTTTTCTTTCTAGGTGATTGGTTTGTTGGATGTGTTCACCCCTGCCAAGTCACTAGAAGAATTCAATGATGTGTAGGTAACTTCTCTGAAGACTGCAATAAAACATCTTTTATATCTTCCTCATATCTCAAAGATTGTTATAGAAATATTTGCCACCTTAATTTGCCTTCTGTCATTCTCAAACAATTCTGAATTCTAAGATACTGGGACATCCTAAACTATTGGACTCTTCAAACTTGTTCAGTTATTGACTGGTGCTGTAGGAATCATCATACTAATCTGCTATGTCATATAAAATGTTTAAAATTTCCTTCAGCAAGACACTTTGGGACAGTCAGCTCTGCTGCTGGTACTTCATAGGGAATTTTTATCCTTATCCTGCTGAAGGGATTGCTCCGTAGCCCATGTGTTTCCTTTTGTTCATAGGTACTTGGTGACACACCTTATGGGAGCAGATCTGAACAATATTGTGAAATGCCAGAAACTCACCGATGACCATGTGCAGTTCCTCATCTACCAAATCCTTCGGGGACTGAAGGTACTCGTACCTGCCCTCCCTGAACATTGATAGTGCATCAACGGGAGGTGGGAGTTCTTGAATGTCATATCCTCAGAGATTCATATGAGTACTTAGTGGGGCTTCTGTGACTCTCCTAACGTATTGTAGGATAACCTGTTATTGTCGTTCCTTCCTTTCATACCTCTTGGAGCACTATCAGTAAAGCTATCTATCATTTAAGAAGATATTTCTATACATTGCTATGGGCCGAATCTGGAAAATTACGAAGTGTGCTGCCTTTTAATCTGCTAGGAATCTTCCAGTTCTTCAGTTCTGTTTCCTTGGGTTGTCCCCTTCATGATGGTAGTGCTCCTGGGCGTTCCTAAGGCGAGACAAAATGAAACGCCCACCTAACTGAAACCTGTGGCCACACAATTGGTTCCTTCTGCAGAAAAGCTGTAGATTTAAATTGTGTGGGATGGGGTCGGGCAGCATTGTCTGGTTCTAAGATGGCAGGCCGCTTGAGCTGTTAGATAAAATATCTCATCTTGCCTTGTAGTACATCCATTCAGCTGACATCATCCACAGGGTGAGTATTTATCCTACAATTGCTTCCTCTGCTGAACTAGTGTCTTTAAAAAATGTAGCACAGAATCTTACAGCACCTACAGAGAAGAAATTTTCTGAGAATTATTTCAATTAAACAGTCAAAAGGTTAGACATGGAAGTGGTTGTCAGGATCTGTAGTTTCTGTTCCTGACTGTTTGACTTGTACCTTTGTAAAATAGGTTCTCTATTTGTTAAATATACATCTGCAGCACTGGTGTTGCAATAAGCCTTTATGCACTTTTGCTTATATGTGTGTTAGGTCCTGGTCCGATTGTTCTGGGAGGGGTTACCAATGATTCCGAGGGTGCAATTAAGACCTCTGAGGATCACAGGAAGCTGACTCTGGGATAAAAACATTTTCCCAAGTGCAGAGGGTTGATATTTACAGCCAGTTAGAATCTATTTTCTAGCTACGTTTGCATTTTTATCTGCGTTAGACTTGTGAAACAACATACATACCGCTGTTAATGCTGATGTTTAATTCTTTAGGATTTAAAACCAAGTAACCTAGCTGTAAATGAAGACTGTGAGCTAAAGGTAATGTAATCACAAGGTCTGGTTGGTTTGACTGGGATTTGAGTGAATGCCTTGTGGATGACCCTTGAAATTAAAGGGACAGAATCATTCCTTATGGAAATCCTTTTGTGGCCTGAAGTAATAGTGTCCTTCCCAGCTGAAAAGGGCCATAGGGATGATTTTTCTGTATCTGTTCATGTGTTTTTAACGAATCATCCTGAAAGTGAAGAGTTAACAGCTTTAGTTTGTGTTTAGTTGTTTTGGAGGGAAGATATCCAGCCGTAATTCTGATTGTCAAGTCCTACACCGTTCCAGGCTAGTGTCTTGTAACAGCTTGTGAAATTTAGTTTCATAATCTGCTTTTGCATTTGCACCACCTCTCCTCCATCCAGCCCAATAACTGCCTGCTTATTTGCTCTAACTGGTTTGCATTGTTCCGCTGCGGTAGTTGGTGGATGTCTCTTCTCTTTTGTAGATCCTGGATTTTGGCTTGGCCCGACACACAGATGATGAGATGACTGGTTACGTGGCCACCCGGTGGTACAGGGCTCCTGAGATCATGCTGAACTGGATGCATTACAACCAGACAGGTAATGTGTTTATTTAACACCAGGATTCTCCAGTCCCGAATTGTGGAAAAAAGAGGTTCTCCTTTGTTCATGCTCCTTTCCCTAATTAGACTTTGGTAAGAGTGATTAAAAGGAGGAAGGCATAGATTAGTATTTAAACCACAATCTACCAGATGTAAATTAAGAATCACTGTGATAGCATTCACACGACATCTTTAAATTTGAACCTTTGAAATTGCAATTAGCAAAATATTGTCAGCACTTACCCCTTATTTTTTTCCTAGCACCGTGGTTTTTACAGTAAGTCAATGGAATGGAAAAGGAGAAGGTGTGTTTCTAGGAACCTGCTGGGAATATGCTGGAAAATGTCAAGTTATGGTGTGAAGAAATGCTAAAAAGTATATAAATCTCCTTCCTTTCTTCTCTTCTCAGGCACTTCTTCACAGTTATATCTTCCTTGCAGTTTCCAGTGTCTTCTCAGCAACACACCGTGATTCCCTACAGTCCTTCCAGATCAGGCACAGAGAAGAAAAGCAAATCCTGAGAATAGTTCTTGTGCAGGAGAGTGTATGGATCAAAGAGAATAATGTGCTGCTCTGATTTCATACCTCACTGCTGCTTCTTCCTTTCTCTTTCCCTCTTGCATGTATACGGACTTCTTTTGTATCTGTAGGAGAAGAGTTGGTGGTTGGGTAGAGTTTCTCTAAGGCCATATGCAAATTCTTTCCTCAGAGCTGTCTCAAACAGGTTTGTTCCTCTTTGATTGTGTAGGTTCCTCCCAGCTCTTTGCTGTTCAATGCACCTTATGCTCTGGAAGGAAAACTTCCCCGATCTCGAATTCCATTATTTGGACAAGTCTTAGTTGATGTAGTTACTGAGCAGTATCAGCTTGCTGTGTACCTCAGATTGTTTCAGCAGCATAGAACAATTTAAGGACAAAGTTGTTTGTACTTTTGGATAGAGTGATTCTATTGAGACTTTATTTTTCTGCATTACGTTGTTTTTGTTTTTTACTTTATTTTGTTCAGTTGATATTTGGTCAGTGGGATGCATTATGGCTGAACTGTTGACTGGAAGAACGTTGTTCCCTGGTACAGACCGTATCCTTTAAAAGTAATATTATTATTTTTTTCTGAAATGGAAGTTAGAAATCTTCACTTTTACAAAAAAAAAAAGTTCTGGGTTTGTTTGGTTGTGTTTTTTTTTTTTTCTGTTTGTTTGTTTTTAAATTAATGGCTTCTTTTACTCACAGTATGATGAGGTGAGTTCTTGATTTTGCTGCACGTGAAGCAATCACAACGATTGCTTCGTGAAGCACGAAGGCAAATCTCTTCCTCTTTATTAGCATCACTAGAATTCCTCTCATGTTGTTTCTTTCTGGGAGTTACTTGCCTTTAAGTTTATTTAAATTCATTGCTCTTTGGGTTTGTAGAGAATAACCGCATGGAGTAGACTGGCTGTTGGGCATCCTCTTGTGCTGCAGGTTATGGAATGTGGAGCATCCCTTGTGGTCTCTCTTCTGCATCCTGGTGCTGTGCTGGGAAACAGGGGCTTTGCAGATTCATTAGCGCCAAGTACCTGACTCCAAATTGCTCTGAAGTGTTTAGGTTCCGCTTCCATGCTTGAGTCGTAACCAGATTGTGAGCCTTCTTTTTGTGTATGTTTGTAGTGGTGGGAAAAATCAAGCTTCAATAACATCTTTTCAAAATTAACTTTTTGCTGCCCCAAAGTAGGCTGGATATAGGACACTTGGGCAAATTTGGTTGGTCATGGTTTTCCCCAGGAAATTAGAGCTGAGACTTGATGCAGATTGTTACACTGACAACTCTTCTTCAGACACACCAAATAATTTACTACCGGCGAAATGTTTGGTTGCCTAGAAATTGGACTTCATTTGCCAAAGAAAATGACATTGCCCACCTCTTACCAAAGTTTGTTCTTTCAACCACAGTTTGTTTATTTTAATAACTTCTGTTAATTTATTAGTATTTATATCTGTTAATTTAAACATGTTAGCATTTGATTAAGAGAGAACTAGTGTTGGAAGTGTTGCCTTCTGTGTCCTGCATTACTTCTGGAAAGCATCTACATGCTGAAACTCCTTGGGACGGGGAAAGGCTTTGATTCCAGTTTTGATGCAGTTTCATCTCCCTTTTCACTGTGCTTTTTTAACTTTACTCTTTTATCTCTTTTTCTGCCTCTCTCCATCTCGTAATATCTCTCCACATTTGTTGAACTTGCTGTACTTACCGTTCAGCCATCTCTGCTGTATTTTTCCTTTTGTCAGGGTCAGAAGCCAGAACTAACATGAAAGTGCCTTAGAAGCTAGAAGGAAAGTTGCCATATTTTTATTGGCTGATTTCACACCTGTAATTTGGTCTGGGCACGTTTTATTTATTTCAGTCAAGAAAAAATGGGAAATCAAAACTTATTGATTCAAACAAAGCAAAAGTCTTTCAGCTGTTGCCACTGTTTAACCCTAATAATGCTTTAGATTTAAAAAATCCTGATACTTGCAGGTAAAATATTTGCTAAAGGGGTTTGCAGTAGGATATGTAAGAAATGCTTCACAATGTGTTCTTTAAGAATTGAACAAAACAGTTATCTTTCAAGCCTGCAAAGTTGTTTTGGTTTTTTCCTCCAACTGCGTTCTTAGTTGTGAAATTACAGCCAATAATATCCGCAATGCAAAATCATGTTTGCTTTTAGGATCACAATTGTTTGCTTTGTTGTATTAAGATACCTTACTAATTTATATCTCCCAGCAGATGCTGTGATGATTACTTTAAATGCTTATTTTCTTTGGTAATGGTAATGGCAAATGGTAATAACGCTTTTGAATGACGCTTTTTCTGCTCTGAATTGGTTAGATTTTAAGCAAAATAAGGCTAAATCCTTCCCCATTGTAGATAAAACTTTGTAGTATTGTTGCAGTTTGTGTGTGGTTTCCCCTCTTCAAGTAATGAATTGCTGTTTGATCAGGAGGTTAGAACTCCAAGGGGAGTGGAGTTTGCGGTTGTGAATCGTGTTTGTGCCTTTCACACTTACCCATGCATCTAGAAAGGCTCCGAGCCACCAGCTTTCCCTCCACTTTGCTGACACCTGAAGACAGCAAGCAGAAGGAGACAATGGGTTTCTGCTGTGGAAGGCTCTCTGAAATCTTTATTTAGGCATGATTTTGGGAGAAAGTTTTAGGACTTTTCCAGATGTAGATCCTGTTGTGTACTGCTGGGCTCTTAATAATTTCTTTGTACCCACAGATCTGCTGAGGCCTGTGTTCCTCCTGCAGAGTCTCTCTGCAATTGCTGACTTACTGATTTTGTAATCAATATTAACATCCTTAATTCAAGGTATATTTCCCACACTGTTAGTAGCTGAGGCTGTAGTATATCCAAATCCCCTGCAGTTCCAGGGAATTCACTCCACAGCTGGAGGCAATGTGTGTTCTGTGTGTTCAGGAACCTGGAAACTGCTCCCATTTGACAGATGAGGATTTGATGATGTTCTTACTTTTTGGTCTGAAGACATTAATTTTCTCAACTATAAAGCTTCACGTTTCCAAAATGAAAGATAGTGACAGAATAGGTAATGCCTTCTCAGGATGATCATCCTCCTCCTTGGGGTTGAAATATTGGTTCCTTTCACCAAGGATTTAGCAGAAATGATGTGATATTTATAGTCCATTAGAGATTCCTTTATAGAGCCCAGAGACGCACATGTTACTTTTAAGCTGCTTCAGTAGAAGCAAATGGTACAGTTAATCTGGTAAGTAAGAAAGTTGTGTTCTGAGATTATGATCTTGAATAGTATCTATGATAATTATGCCACTGCTAAACTAATGATGAATTTAGTTTTAAGTTCTGAAGGACCTTACCTGTAGAGATTCTGAACATGACTGTCATTGGCTTAAAGAAAGAACTGTAGATACTCTTAGAAAAAAAAGGATTCCTGTTCTGCAGGATTGTTACAATATTCCTAATTTAAAACTGAGTATAAGCAAATTGGATTGTTGCCATTGAAATAGCTCAGGCTCTGAGCAGCCCGATCTAGAGATGTCCCTGCTCGTGGCAGGGATTGGACTAAATGGGCTTTAAAGGGCCTTCCAACCCAAACCATTCGGTGATTCTATGCTCTATGGGTGGAAATATTTGATAAAAGATGGGTTTCTAATATCGATAAAACCTCTGCAGGGAGGTGGAGAAGGGGAGTGAGATTGTGGGAAATACTGTTCAGAGACAAAACCAATTGAGGTAATGAACATCAGAGTCCTTTGGGCTTGTACTGTGAGGTGTAGCCAGAGGCTGCCTCTGTTATCATCACTTCTGCCCAACACCACGATCAGTTTCTGTTAAACGTGTGTATTCTTTTTTTTTTTTTTTTTACAGCTCTTGTGATGTGAATGATTCATACAAATAAGTAGGACTTTAGTTTGACAATTTGACTTGCATAAAATGATATAAAGTACAGATAAGAATATCGTGAATGTTTTGTACTAGTTCAGCCCATTTCCTTTTTCTGTATGTTTTAAGTTGACTGTATTCCCTTTAAATTCTGAAAAGTATTTTTATTACTATTTTTATTAAGTAGTATGAGACTTCCATGATAACTAACCAGTCTGAAACTGCATATTCTTTTGATTGATCTTATTCTTGCTTGTGGTGGCAGCTAAAACAACTCCTGAACTTTGCTTTGCCTGGATGAGCTCTTGTGATGCTGCTCATGGGGGTGGTGGCAGGTTGTTTTCTGAATTTCAGGGTCCCTGAGACCCATCAGTTGTTGGCAGGGGGTACCTTGGTGATGGCATTGGGGGTTTGCATGCTCTGCTTCCCTTCCATGCACATGTGGCTTTGTTTTTCTTTTGCTTTGTATTTACTAAGTGTTTTTCCTGTCTTTAATCACTTATGGCTCCTTTCTCCTGTAGTGAAATGAACTCTACAATTCCTCAGGTTACAGACAGCAGCCTAAAACAAGAAGCAGGGACTGGGTTTTAGGGTGCCCGTGGCATTGCCAGTTACACATTCTGGGTTTTCATGGAGTCACAGAATTGTCAGGGTTGGAAGGGACCTCTAGAGATCATCTGGTCCAACCCTCCTGCCAAAGTAGGGTTGCCCAGAGCACATCACTCAGGAGCATCCAGGCAGGGCTTGAAGATCTCCAGAGAAGGGGACTCCACACCCTCCCTGGGCAGCCTGTTCCAGGGCTCTGGTACCCTCACCTGAAAGAAGTTTTTCTTCACATTTGAGTGGAACTTCCCATGTTCCAGTTTGTGCCCGTTGCCCCTTGTCCTGTCACTGGGAAGCACTGGAAAGAGTCTGGCTCCATCCTCTTCTCTTCTCCAGGCTAAAGAGCCCCAGCTCTCTCAGCCTTTCCTCATCAGGGAGATGCTCCAATCCCTCCACCATCTTTGTTGCCCTACACTGGACTCTCTCCAGTAGTTCCCTGTCTCTCGTTTATCTGAGAAGTCACTGAATCGTGTTACACAAGTGTCTTCCAACAGTGATTTTTTTCCCTGGGAAAAGAGCTGTCGGCAAACTGGGCAGGGATACTGTTGACACACCTGGTGCATGTGATTTTTAAATGCCTTGAAAAGAATTTAAATATTTCAACTGAGGTACGGCACGTGCCTTCTGAGGCACGTGAGCGGGCTTAAATTTGCACGACTGTTTCTTGCACAAGAGTGAATGAAATTTGTAAGGGCTGTTTGAAACGGTGCTGAAGAAAAGCCGATTTAAATGAGCTAATTGTGGTTAGTGTGGCACCCTCTGCTAATTCCCTTACGCCAGGAGATAATGCTGATTTCATTTCAAGTGCTGACAATGAAGAGTTGGCCATTCAGCAGCTGAACTAAATCCAACAGGACACAATGAATTTACTGTTAATTTTGGAGTGTTTAGTAGGTGGGAGTTGGCCAAGAAAGAAGTGAGAAATCAGTTCAGCTGTTCTGACAAAGTTCTATTTCCAGGGCTTTTAATTCATTTCATATGTAAAGCTTTAGACCAAAATTTACATCAAAAGATAAAGGTTTTAGCAAAGTGTTAGTGATTTCCTTCATTTACAGCTTGTCAGTATTATGGGAACTCAGAGGCTTTTTTTCTTTTTAAAAAGAAAGACAATATTTGAAGGACCTACAGTATTTGAATTAAAAGATGTTCTAACTAGTTTGGTATAATTTCACAAGCAAATATAACCCTTACAGACACAGTCTGAAACCACAAGTAGGTTTGAAGGGCAGAATGGAGGATAACTCAGAGAAGGGAGATTATTCTTTCAATGGTTTTAAAAAGATACCTCGAGTCTCCTTACTGTCTTGAGTTTTAAACATAAAACTGTGTGTTTAGTAGATTTTTTTCCCCTCAAGTGTATGTTTTGTCACTTATGCCAAATATTTAATTTTTCTACCCTGTTAAAAAGGACAGCCCAGATTGGCCTGGTGGAAGCTCTATATGGGATAAAACATTCTTTTCATCTATGATATGTCCCAAGAGCTTTCAATGTAGAGATTTTAATCCTGAGCCAGTGTTTTTTCTCCCCCACTGGGCAGAGGGGGCTGAGGTGGGTTCCCTGGAGCTGTGGGGACGAGCACCCTGAGCACCGCCTGCTCCGGGTCCAGGAAAGATGCCCCCCACGTCCAGGCGGAGGGATGCTGTGGGTCGTGAGCAGAGTCCAGTCCTTTTCCTAAGTGTTTCTAAGGGGCTGAATCACCTTGGAAGGTGTTCACAAAAGGCCTTGATTTTTTTTTTTTAATATTATTATTTTTTTAATATTAGTGCCTACTTTTCAGCCTTCTGCTTTGCTTCCTCTGTCACTAACGCAGACTGATTCCTGCTAACGGCGTTGCCTGGGGTGAAGTGTGAACTCCTCCTTTGCCAGCAGGGCCAAAGCTTTGGCTTCTGCTCCTCCATAATTAAGGATGCAGTGAGCGGTTCGATGCATGGGGTGTATCATAGATGAAGTCTTTCAATCTGATGCAGAGTTGTGTTAATGCTCATTTGTAAACGAGAGGAATTAATACGGTTTGCTTAAAATAGCTTTTCAGTCAAGGCCTTGGCAGGTGTTAAACTTTCAACGTGAATAGGCTGATGTGTTGCACTTTCCATTTTGATTTGTCCCAGCATTTTCCTTTATGGTCCATCATTAGATATTGATCAGTTGAAGCTCATTTTGAGACTCGTTGGAACCCCAGGGCCTGAGCTTTTGAAGAAAATCTCCTCAGAGTCTGTGAGTTTACACTTTGATTGTAATATCTGCCCTTTCGGAAGTCCTGAGTTTGTGTATTGCCCTCCTTTAGTCTCTGTAGTGTGTGTTGGGATTTATTTTCTGTTCTTTTAATTCCTTTGTCATTCTTTGCTCTTGGATGGCTTTGAGTTCTTAACACTGTGTGTACCTGATCTTTATTCCTCTTACCTCTGCGTGTGGTATGATTTCTTCTTTCCATAGTCTCATTTTACTGCTTCGTGACTTTCCTTTCAGTTTGTGGGTTTATACTTCGTGATATATTGTATGATCAGATCCTGCTGGGGAAGGATTTTTTCACAGCTGAGAGCTTGAGGCTCGTCTCAGTTATTATTTCTCCAGTTTCCCTACCCCAGGATCTGTCTTAACAAGAGCAAGTATGTTCTCCTCTAAACACACACAGTCCCCTCTGTGGCATGATTAATTTCTGAAAACACTACTTTTTGGTTTTATAGCATCAAATCCAGCCTTTTAGGTGCTTTTATGTGCCAGCTGTTTCCAGGGCACACAGCGTATATTCTGCGTAGAATATAACTAATTGTGCTGTGTATTTAACGGGTGTTGCTGTATGGAGCCAGGTAACAGCAAAAAGCTTTTTGCAGCCTCCTTTTTAAAGGGTGACCTCCGTTTTCAGCCGTATTGCTCTGATCTTGAATTGTGAACTTCTGCAAAGATAGTATTAATTGTCATTTAATTTTACCAGTTTCTGAAGGTGAAGCGCACAAAAGTTAAGAGCGAGAGATGCCGTAACAGTAGAGATTCACAAGTTAATGCAGAGTGAGGGGACTACCAGTGACAGGAGCGGGTCCCTCTGCTGTCTCTGGTGTGTGACAGAGGGTCAGCACGGTGCAGAGGGAGGAGAATATTATTTTGTGCTGCAACTTATGTTCTATTTCTCGTACCAGTGACGGTAAACGCGAGGAGTGAGCTTAGCCTTACATTCCGTTTGATGAAGGTAGAGCTACACTGCAATCGGAGTCTGTTGGTCACCTCGCTGAATATCACACCGATTTCAAAAGCCCCGGGATGTTTTACCCCTGGGATGGTTAGGAGGGAATAAGGCGGGGTGCTCTGGGTGCCCTGCGGACTGACCTTCAGGGCAGGCTGGTATTTGAAGTCCAGGGGATTAGCATGAGAGAGAAGCTTAGAAGTTGACGAGGTCAAGGGAAAGATTAGTTTGCATACATGAGATTGAAGTCGGTCTTTTTTTTTTTTTGCTTGCTTTCTTTTTTTAACATTGCACAATAAAAAAGAACAATTGCTCTTAGCCAGGTCCAAATCAAGAGTCTGCTTAAAAAAAAAATAAAATGCAGTACAGTGTGGAGATAGCAATACTTTTAAGTGTTTGAGGACCTTGAGTGTGTCACTGTAAAGAATTGTGGGTTTCTGCTGCATTACTTTCCTTGCTCTTCCTTTCTCTGTCTCTTCACTGACACGAGCTGTAACTCTCTCTTATGCAATGCTAATGTTTTGCTAATTTTGCATTTATTGCCTCCTGTCACCTCACCCACAGATCCAAGCGCATTCAAAGCTGTTTGGAAGGAGGTGTCAGTTGTGAGCCTGTTTCACTTTGCACCACAAGGAGCTTAAGTACTTTCTATGTAGCAAGAAAAAAAGGCTGGTAACCAGTGGAGGGGATACAATTTTTAGTTCTGTTTGAATTTTTCTTTCGTTTTCCTGAGGCTTTGTGTAGGAAAATTTTTGAGGAGTAGCTTCAGCCAAAGGAAATGTCTACTTTGGTGGCTTAAAACTGTTGGAAAACGGTGGATGCAACTGTATTGTATTGCAACGCTGCTTGTGGCAGGCAGAAATCCTTCCTGCACTGACACTGTTACCCACGGAGCAGTGAATTCTCCATTGGTTTAAGTGTTCACTAGTGAAATTGCTGAACTTTTCACAAATATTTGAAAAAAAACCACCTCACCAAAACATTAGTGGAGACCCTGCCTGTATGGCTTTTGCCTTGTGGTTTGCAGAAGAGATGCTTTGTATGCAGCTGTTTTCTGTTTAAAATGGTTTTTGCACTGTTTTTAACAAAGCCCTTGACGAGGCACTTTTAAGATATTAACCAGCTTCAGCAGATCATGCGTCTGACGGGAACACCCCCTGCGTATCTCATTAACAGGATGCCCAGCCACGAGGTGAGACCTGAGCAGACGAGGGGGGGTCTCCAGGGCAGGTCTTGGCTGCTTCTAGAAATGAGAGACGCTCGCATGTGGCATGGGGTGGGCAATTAACCACCTTTGTTGGTTGTTTGAAAACTTTGGACAGTGTGTACTCAACTTCTGAGGCTCAGAGAAGTTTCTGAGACTCCAGGAAAGCCTGGATGTGAGTCGATCTTGCACTCTGTGCCCTGGTGTAAGGTTCACCCACAGCCACTGCACTGCTCGCAGCCTTCCCAGGACTCCGGGACCCTCAGCTCTCACAGCACCTCTTTGCTTTTCAGTCTTGCATGAACCCCACAGAATGTCAGCTCTTCCTCTGCTCCCTCGAGTGGCCTTTAGTTGGGAAGGGATAACGCTGATGGGCTTAGGAAGTAGCAGAATAAGTAAAGAGAAAGCAAAGTGAGGAGACAGACCATAATAAGCGGTGCTTCAGGATGATTGAAATGTAGTCTTGTCTTGGTGGCTGGATATATATATATACTTCAACAGAGCATTTATTTCCACAGGCAAGAAACTACATTCAGTCTCTGTCTTACATGCCGAAAATGGACTTTGAAAATGTGTTTATTGGTGCCAATCCCCTGGGTAAGGATCGCTTTTTGTGTGTTGTGCTTTTCCTGATGCTGGGATATCTGGGGACACCCACACTCTCCCAAAGAGCTGTTGGGACACCAGCAGCAGTTCAGGACAGAGCTCTGTGCTACTGCCAGAGCTTACAAACTACATGTGGGCTTGAGGGTATAAGAGGAAGAAATTGTGGATGATGGGGTGGGTCCTGAGAAACTACAGGTTCCTTATCTGGTGGGCTGTTCCACGCTTATACCTCAGAGCACAATATCACACAGATCGCTCTAATATCCTTTCTTTTCTGTTCTGGTGCTTTGGCAGCTGTGGACTTGCTAGAGAAGATGTTGGTACTGGACACAGACAAGCGAATCACTGCAGCAGAAGCCTTGGCTCATGCCTACTTCGCTCAGTATCACGACCCAGATGATGAACCAGTGGCAGACCCCTACGACCAGTCGTTTGAAAGCAGAGAACTTGAGATTGAAGAATGGAAAAGTGAGTTTGGGGGAAGGAGAGTGCCAGCCTGCTTCCCTTGTGCTCCATTCCATAAGTTGCAGTTCAGTTAGTCGTGGTAATTAGAGGCACAAAAGAAACTTCCTCAGCACAGGAAGGACATGGAGCTGTTGGAGCGAGGACAGAGCCACGGAGATGCTGGGAGGGCTGGAGCCCCTCTGCTGTGAGGACAGGCTGAGAGAGTTGGGGGGTTCAGCCTGGAGAAGAGAAGGCTCCGTTGAGACCTTGGAGCCCCTTCCAGTCCCTCAAGGGGCTCCAGGAACCCCTTCCAGTCCAGGAAAGCTGAGGAGGGACTTTTCACACGGGCATGTAGTGATAGGATGAGGGGTAATGGCTTCAAACTGAAAGAGGGGAGATTGAGCTGAGATGTGGGGAAGAACTTGTTTGCTGTGAGGGTGGTGAGAGCCTGGTCCAGGTTGCCCAGAGAAGCTGTGGCTGCCCCATCCCTGGAGGGGTTCAAGGGCAGGTTGGAGGGGGCTTGGAGCAACGTGGTCTGGTGGGAGGTGTCCCTGCCCAGGGCAGGGGGTAGCACTGGGGGATCTTAAAGGTCCCTTCCCACCCAAACCATTCTGTTTTTCTATGATAAAAATATGGGCACCCTGTTCATTCTGAGGTCCTTACACTGAGTGAATCTATCAGGGGCTGTGCACATAATTAGCATAACCCTGCTAACTAATTATTGCTATGAGCATACAAACATGTAGGTGCCAGTTGCTTGTATCTTCGTGTTTTCAAACTTCCATCTCCCCAACGCTCTGGAAGTGCCTTTTATTGTCTCTGTGAGTCTGAGAATGATGGAGCCATTCTTTCCTTCTTAATTAAATGTCTTTAGTGCTGCCTGTGAAGTTTCTGTCCTGCTTTTCCCCCCCCAGGCCTGACTTACGATGAAGTGATTAGCTTTGTGCCGCCTCCGCTCGACCAAGAGGAGATGGAGTCCTGAGGAAGGGCGCTCTCCTGTTCGTCCCACGTCACTGTGAGGGGAAGGCCTTTTTGCGGGGACTCTCCGATTATCGTCCAAGTGCCTCGTCACAACAATATTCTCCTTGGTGGAGGGGTTTTGTGTGTGTTAACTTGGGGGGGGGGGGGGGGGGGGGGAGGGAGGGGGGAGGACAACATGCTGCATGCTCTTGTGTTCTGTGTACGGCCTGGGGACGCCTTCGAAGCTCTGACTTCTCTTCTGTCCTTCCAGAGGAACTGTGCTCGACCAGTTTGTGCTGCTGGGGGCAAGGTGGGGAAGCTGGCGTTTCAAATTTTGGTTACAATCGTTGCCGTTTATCAATTCTTCTACAATTAAGCAACCTCAAAATGATGGAAGTTGGTTTATGGGCCTCTGGTTTCCTCAGGCCTGAAGGTGGGGCTGGGGGATGTCCTCGTTCAATGCCAGATGATTGGTTTACGTCCAGATCTTCCTGGTCCAGCAGAATGTTAGAGGCCTTCTCCTGTCTCATCCTTGGAAAGACGAAAAGGTTTTGTTTGAAACTGTAAATATGTTTGTGCCTTAAATTGAATGGGAAGAGAGAGGGGAAAGGAAGTCTGGAGTGGAAATCTCTGACCCCGCTGGTTTTCAGGGTGAAGGCTCCCAGCCGGCCAGGCGTGAGCTCCATGGAATCAGGAAATCACTGTCCAAGGCAGCAGCCTCTGCCCCTGTATCGGGGTATTCCTCTGGTTTTCCCTCTTCCCCTCCTCTCCTTGAGGCTTCCCAGGAGACAGGGGCTGGAGAAGATTCTTGCCGGCCACACTTTTGTGTATTTTATTCCTTAAAAGCTGGGGGGTTTTGCATGTCGTAGTTGTCTGTGCATGTAGAGCTGCTTGATTTTTCATCATTATTTTTTGGGGGCGGCGCTGGGGTGGTTCCATCCTGGGGGAAACCCTTTTAGTGGGTCCCTCGGCCAGCGCCGTGAAATCCCAGCCTCCTTCCTCTCGTGCTGCAGCTCGTTGTGAAATACCCGCCATCCCGGAGGCTTCACCGAGGGAAGGATCAAACACACAATATAGAACCGTGCATCTTTTTTCTTTGTGTTGTGGTTTCAGAGGAGGAGAGCTTGGGATGGAGGGTTTCTTGTCAGATCAAATGAAAAAAAAAAAAAAAAAAAATGTTCTTCAAAGAACTCTGGTGTCTTGTGCCAGAACTTAAGTTATTTCCTGAAAAGAAGGGTTTTTTTAGAAGTATTGGATTCCAAAGCAAAGAAATGAGCATGCATAAACCCACAACCTCCCTTTTACTGTCTATATCTATAAATATAAATATTTATATATATAAAAATAACATTTACTAGAGATTAGTTGTTTTTTTTTTACCCTATCAGATAAAGAGCTTCTTGGCTGTTTTTTAGCAGGTTGGTCTCTGCCTGAGGAAACATGAAAAGGGAGTTTGTTTGAATCCAAATGGGGTTGAAGTGTTTTGTGTTTTATGGGGCTCTGTGAATGAGATGCCCAGAGGTGGGGACTGGCAGGAGGGGGGGGGCATTTCTCGGTGGGGTCTGTACTGGGACTTACTGGGGAGCTCAGGGACCCCCTTTTACTTGTGGAGGAGGCTTTTTTAGACATTTGTGACGGGCATCCTGTGCGGACAAAGGACCTGTATGTGAGGAGAAAGGCTTTTGCAGTATTTTGTCCTTGTTATGGAGGGCGCCAGGGAGGAAGTGTTTTGTGATGGGTTTTTGAAGAGGCAACACGAGGGGATGGGGTGCGGATGACGAAGCCATTGAATCTTCCCAGCGATCTCTTCAGGTCAAACACTTCCCTAGAGGTGTTGGGGGGAGAGGCAGAGAGCAGTTACTCCACGCTCTGGGGTAAAAACTTCCCCCACACCAAGAAAATCAAGACAGAAACCCTCCCTTCCCCGCTGGCCCCACAGTCGGGGTGTTGAGATGAAAATGTAGATAATACTATTGTAAACCTACAGCAAGATTATTTTTATCAGCCATTTTATGTGTAGATGCTACGGTGTGATTTCAGGCGGAAATATTGCTAAAGATTTTTAAAACTATAGATGTCGTGTGTGTGCGTGTGTGTGTGTCTGTGCGTGTGTGTGTGTGAGGTGGGGGGACGTTTTGGGAGCCCGGGCTCCGTGGGGCACAACGAGGCACACACTCCCCTCGGTGCCGCGCTGCTTGGCCACCCCCGGCATTTAAAGAGGAAAACCTGCTATTTTGTTTCTAGCCCTGAATTTTGCTGTAATTGGTTCTGCAGATAAGATGTCACGATACCACTGGTTAAAAAATAAAACTTATTTTTCAGACGTACTGCGCTGATGGTCCTTGTGAACCCCCTGTGCTGATGGGTCGGTTGTAGCACGGTGTGAAGGTCCCCTCATGTCCTGTGGGGGCCGAGGCCAGTGACTCGTTGTCCCGAGTGTCTGCTGGCACCGAGCCTGTGTCCCTGTGTCCCCAGAACTCAGTTGGAGCCTGACCCCGAGTACTGGATGCAGAAGAAATACTTCTATTTTCTGATTGGTGTAGGGATTCAACACAACAGACCAGGGTTTTGCTTCTTGTCTGGACCTAGGGCCCATCCCCAGTGATACTGGTTTGTGATGGTTTGCTTTTTAAAAGGAATTTTTTTTCCTCTTCAGCCTCTATTTAGTGATAGAAGAGTGTTCATGGGGGCAGGAGCTGCTGACTTTTCACTCGGAAGAAGGATCACCCAAAGCTTTGTCCTTCCCACCAACGGAAGCCTCGGGAGCTGAAGTTGCCAGCGCTTGATGAACCAGGGTGGTTCGTGCCAGTCCCAGTCTGGTAGCCAACAGCCCTGGAGCTCTGCAGCTCTGAGTGAGGGGGTTTCTCTGGGCGACACAGAAGGGGCCTCCCAGCCCCTTTTCACCTTCCGCTCGCCTTGGGACAGACGGAGAGGAAAAAGCCTCAACTGTAGCTCTCACTTATTGTTTCCTGGGAGGAAAACAATAAATCCACAATTCCTGAATGTGCTCGGCTACAATATATCATAGTTAGCAAAAAAAAAAAATTATATACACTAAAATCAGTGAGAATTGAATTGGAGGAAAACCCATAAACTACACTTAAAAAAATCAAACTGCTGAAGTCAAGGTTTCCCCGTTCAGTTTGAATCTGTCCCTGGAATTAATTCATCCTTCCGCAGCCAAGACGTGCCTGAGGGGTTACCAACTCCTTAATTCCTTAATTAAGGACAGGCTGCAGGAGCCCATCGCTGAGCAAGGGCCATGCTCACGCCATGACAAACGAGTTCCCCCTTCCCTGGTGTCCCAGGAGCTGCCACTGTCACCCCTCTTGCTCATGGGGGTATTTACAGATCCCGGCCTATTTCCTGGCCGCCCTGTTGCTGTTCCCGGGACTTAATTACAGGTGTATATGTAAAAAAGGGTAAACTGCCTGAGCTCCTTGTCCCTGGTTTGTGTTCTGTGAAACAGCAGTTCTCGCCATGGCAATTTGAAGGGACAACTCTAATCCGTATTGAGTGGTTGCCTGTAAGCAGGAAAAATGGATCTTTTAGTGGTTTTTTTTCAGTAATTCCCATTTATGGGGTAACCTGCCTCTGGGCCGAGGGCTGGTGGGCAGAGCCCAGCATGAGCCATGGGGCCAGCATGGTGGGGCCCAGTTTAGTCACTTCCTTGGGGACATGTGTGGGGTGCTCCCACCCCTCCTGAGCCTCTGAAAGCCAGAGGAAAATGTCGTAGGCCGCCTCTGCTCCCCAGGAACAGAACCTTCTTGCAGACCTCTAGAACTGGTGGAGAAGACCCAAGAAGAGCTTGGACTCGCTGTGGGAGGTAGAACTGGACCCAGCAAGGACTGGGGCACCAGCAGTTCTTAGGATGGTTCCATCTCACGGCTGCTCCTCAGTCCCCTCCAGGATGGTCCCATCTCGCAGCTGCTCCCCAGTCCCCTACAGGTGACACCTCCATGCAGGTGGAGAAGAACCTCAGCCTCCTTCCACCACGTCCTGACTCTGCTGGGATGCCAGACGTGGGAGAAACTCACCGTCCTCGCTCTCGTGTGGATGTAACACCCCCATGTCCCCCGTCACGAGCCTGGAGCTCCGTCAGCTGGGAAGAAGAACGTCCCCGCTCCTCTGACGCGGCGCTGTGGCTTCTCCCCCAGATTCCTCGGCTCGACAAGTCCTTACTCATCTGCTGGCTCAGAGCGGGGATTTCACGAGACCCCCCCCTCCATCCGAGCCCCACGAGGACATTTCTCCCTGGGCTGGTGGCCGGGTGGGAGCAGGGACATGGTTAGGGGGTCCCAGTGACCTTCCTACCGCAGAGCTGGCTGCTCGGTGCTTGTTCCCGAGTCACCTGGAGAAGACCGAGGCGTGTCGGGAAACCTGATGCCTCACCTCTGCCGATGTGGAGGCGGAGGGAGGAGGGCCCAAAGACATGTCCCTTCACGCTCACAACAGCTGAAAACGGAGAAGGAAACTCACTAGAGCCTTTTTTTACCAGCGCAGGCGTCCTCGCTCTCCCCGTCTCACCCCAGGAGCCCTCCTGTCCTCCGGTACTCTGGGGGGGTGGCAGTCCCGCTCCCGCCGGGCGATGAACATCGCAAGGAGAAGAGGTTTTTACAGGCAGGAGGTGAACAAAACCCTCTGGGAGCTGCCCAGGAGATACGCGTCCCTCCACCCCGTGGGGTCCGGAGCCTACGGCTCAGTTTGGTGAGTTCGGGTCCCACCGGCACCGTGTGGGGTGAGTCTGAGGGTATTGGAAGTGTTGTGCCCGGTTTGGGGGGGGAAGTAAGCGAGGAGGTGCCTGTTGATACCCCTCCATTAGGAAAGGCCATTTGCATGTGTGATGAAGGCAGTTTGCGTCCTGCTCCGGAGCAACGGGCAGTGGCTCAGAGACTTGGTGGCTTGAAAGAAGCGAGATGTTTCCTCCCGTGGTTGTCCCAGGTGGGCTCAGAGAAAGGAGTTCCCCACCTCAGTGGGCTCAGAAGGGGGAGTTTCCCACCTGGCAGCGTCTCGATGGTTGTGATGGTCCTTGGAGACAACAGCAGCTCCAGGACCAGGTGAGGCAGCGTGGGGTGTCATCTCCCTGCCAGGGGTTGGGCAGATTTTGAGCTGCTTTGGTCTCCAGTTTGCACAAAGGTTTCTCTCTGGCGGTGGAGGGGGGGGAATACTTGGGCATCTGAAAGCCATTTGTGGGTGATAATGGGGGTGGGTGGGAGAAGTGGAGGTGGCTGCAGTGTGTCCTCTGCTGTGTGTCCTTGCTGCTTTGGTCCGAGGCAGCTAGGGAACAGAGCTGGATGACACAACCCCTGCTTGTGATACTGCTTCCAGCTTGCAATCATCAAATTGCTAGAAATAAGTGTAAACCAGGACCAGCACCAAACTGGGACTTCTTCCTGGCTGATGATGATCCCCAATCCATGAGAGAGCACGAAGCTGCTGTTAATTGTTGGGCAGAGGTGGCTGTAGCCAGAGGGAGCAGAACCCGAATCTTGCGTGGCTTTTGGTGAACTGGAGGAAACTGGGGGCTGTTAGAAAGGTTCAACATGAAGCAGCCCTGTCCAGGATCTGGAGGGAGCTCTTCTTTCATAACACACTGAGATGAAAAAAACAAACAAACAAACAACCACAAACCCCACAAAAAGGCGTGTCTCCTTTTGTAGGTGTTGAGCAAAGTCTCTCTGTCAGCTGCCACTGCACAGTTCCTGGAACCCCAGGCTCTGTCCTTGTCCCCCGGCTGCCTGTTTGCAGAGAGACACCCCGGGTCTCCTTCCGTCACTCTGCCCCCCGCCCCAGGTGCATTTGAGTTTCTGGAGATGCTTAAACGAGTCCTGTGAAATCTAGGGCTAAACTTGGCATTTTGGATATTCCTACAGTGTTTTCTGGGTTTTGTCATAAAGGAAAGAAGGGAGAAAAGAGAAATCCTTTCAAAGCTTCCTCGCCCGCAAGAAATAACAAACAAATGACAAATCTTTTACTGGTCCCAGGGAAAGTCTCGCTGCTCCGGAGACCTTGGGGAGGGAGGGTGCGGGGTGGTCAGTGCTCAGCAGGAGCGGTTTGGTGCTGATTCCTGCACAACGCAGCAGTGGAAGCCTGTGGGGTTGGGATTCGAAGCCTGTGGGGTTGGGATTTGCTGTCCTCTGCTGGGAATTGCCGGGAAACTTCCCCGTCGCAGCGTTATTGGGATCTGCCGCTTTCACACCTCCTTGAGCAGCTGAGAAACTCCAGCAAAACAGCAAAGATGTGTTTCTTCCCACATTAATTCTGCCCAAACCCATAGCGATTCGGCTTCCTGCTGGATGTAATTGTGGAAGAAGAGTCTTCTGACCCCTCCGAGGCTGGTCATGCCAATCTCTGGCGGGGACACGGCGCTGCCTGCCCAGTGTCACTTTGAACTTCAGCCGTTCATCAGACCTCTGCTGGGAGGAACGTGGTGGGTTCTCCACCACCAGGAGAACTGAATTCACTCTCAGCTCTGCCTCACACAAGGGGGACAGTGGTGTCCGAGCTGGGCAGGCTGAAGCTCCATCACCCAGGAGATGGAGTGTCCCATGCTGAGCAGTGGGTAGATCTGTGGATGTGCTGCAGGCCAGCAGCTGGGAAGGCAGGTAAGAACATGCACCCTCAGATTAGGAAATCTGCCGTGAATTCCGCAGAAGCTGTTTGACTACGTGGTCCAAGTCCCTTCCTTTTACTTCCCCGGCTCCTTGGAGAACTATGCTGTGCTGTCCCCTCTGCCAACACCCTCTGAAGTCCTGAAACTGAGACAACCCTTCCCTGACGCCTGAGATGCCCTGTGACATCTTCAGCGCCGAAGCTGCCTCGTGTTCCTGTGCTCCCTTCGCTTTCCCCATCTGAATGCATTGACAAAACTCCCGTGGCAGTTCTCGAAGGATGTCTCTTCTCCCATCACATGGAACTTAGAGCAACTGGAAGGGACCTCGGTGGCCCAGAGCAGGGAGATTCCCTGATGGTATTGGGGAGGTTGATGAGAGCTGCAGGCGGACACACCACCACCCATCGTTTGTGGCTGACAGAGGGAAAAAAGCTGCGCAAGAGACTTCCAAGGTTTGCAGCGAGGATCTGATCACCCCTGCTCAGCGTTGAACTGGAGGGAAAGCCACGTGGAGCAGGATATTCCGATCTCTCCTTCTGTAACCAGCCCTAAACCCAGCAAAATGCCCTCTTTGATTGTGTTATTATAGACGGTATTTCCCTTCTCATTCGCTGATGATGGCTCTGGAGGTGACAGTGACGTTGCTTTACAGCTTTATGGTACCTGCCCCTCCTCCTCTCGGGTGCTCCAAGGGCCTCCAGGAAGGAGCTGTGGCTGCAGCCGGGCGTTTGGAGACTGGTGGGGATGAATCCCACGTCCCTTCTGGGAAGGAAGCAGGAAAACAATGTCTGTGCAAGGCTGGAGGGTGTGTGCAAAGCACTAATGCCAGCCTTGACGAGTGCTCGGTCCCTCTAAACATGGGACAGCTAAACATGGGACCGAACGTACCAATTTACAGCCCTTCCCTTTCCCTGAGAGATAAAGATTTACAAAGGGCAGGAACTGCTTGGAAACCCACAGTGCAATTTGCCAGGGAAAACCCTGTTGTCTTCTTGGAGGGGTCAGGGAGGGCCCAAGGCATCAAGATGGAGTGCACCGAGATCCCCCCTGGAAAACAGCACCGAGAATCCCGAATTGCAGCATTCTCTGCCCAAGGAGCTCCCTCCCCAGCTCTTATCTGGTGAAATCTGGGCCTGAGCAAAGAGCAGAGAGAGCAGAGAAAGCGTGGTGGGATCACCCTGCCTGGCCACAGACAGCAAACATGACCGGAGGGAATCCCAGGTCCCGTCCCCAGAGAGGGCTGTTGTGCCACGTTTTCCTTAGTTTTATAAAAAGACTCCTGTTTTCAGCTTGAGCTGCTGTTAGGCACTCATACAGCAGGAGAACTAAGTCTGTGTTTTCAGCATGTGATACCCACTGTCTTTGCTCCAGAACACAACGAAGGCTGACGTACCTTTAAAAGACAACGACCCCCAAGCAGATGGCAAAGCAGAAATTGCTTTATTCCTTTCTCTCCGTGCCTTAGGGAAGGAGAAGGCAGAGTTAGACCCAATCCTCACCTCTAAGCATTTGTGTTTTCCTCCTCTTGCAGTTCTGCTAGCTCGTTTGTGCAGGTTAAGGGAATTAAAGACCAGGTCATTCATACCTCTTTTGGTGTCCCACCTGGTCCTCCCAGGAGCAGGGGCTGTGTTCTGCTGCCCTGGGTCACGGTGACACCTGCGTGTGCAGAGCTCTACCAGGAAACACCAAGGGCTTTTCTTTGCTGTCCTTCTACGAGGCTCAGAATTAGCTCTTCTCTAGGGGAGGACCTTTGGTGTTGCAAAAATTGTTAAAACATAGTTAATGTCAAAACTGGGTTTTACTTGTCCACTGCAGTTCGGCCATAGACAAGAAGACGGGGGAGAAAGTAGCCATCAAGAAGCTCTGCCGCCCGTTCCAGTCGGAGATCTTTGCCAAGAGAGCGTACAGGGAGCTCATGCTGCTCAAGCACATGCAACACGAGAACGTAAGTACTCATTTTCTCTCCGTTCCTGCTGAAACAAGGGGGATTTTCTCGCCACCTGGGAGCAAGTCCCTTCGGATGGCATCATCTTTGTGTTAATGGAGCTGTCCTGATGTTTAGCACACGCGGGCAGTCTCAGGGTTTGATTGCTGTGCCCAGCTGGCACCAGGCTGGAGGAGATGTGTAATGGGTGCTCCCGTGTATTAGTAAGAGGAAAAGCAGCCAGGCAGCATAGTGAAGAGTCCTCGGATTCCTCAGGTGGAGTTCTCCGTGCTCACCCATACGCGTGTGCCGGTGGAGAGCTATTACCTGAGTCCCACGTGTACAGCAAATGCTTTCCAGGTTTCAACATGGGCTTCTCTTCTCCATCAGGTCATTGGGCTGCTCGATGTCTTCACCTCCGCCCCCTCCTACCAGGGATTCCAGGATTTGTAAGTTTGGCATTTGCGTTAAGCTCTCTCTAGACTCAGGTGGGGAAGAACTTGGGTTGGGGTGCAGCCCAACAGGATGAGCCGAAAAGGGGCCGGGCTAAAGCCAGACACCCCCCAAATAACAAGGAGAATCAAAAGCACAAGTCAGTTCCCACGGCTAAAACAGTCAGAATACGTCAACAGATCCCATGCCGTGCTCACAGCTGGGAGAACACGGTGTATAGAGAGCAAGGTGTGTAAGGAGGAGGCATCACATTCCCAGGGGGATCCTACGCAGCGTGGTCCACAGTAACCTAGTGCTGAGCTGAGAGGCTGCACTCAGGATGGGAGAAGTATTGTTCATCAGGCCCTGGGGCAATTAAACCAAGAATTTAAAGGATCTGGCTTTCTCTTAATCTTGATTCTGGCTCTTTGTATTTTATTTTTGGCGTTTCCCTCAGTGTTGATCGATGGTCAGGTTGGACGAGTCTTTTTCCCTTCCCCATCCCTGGGCATGAGGAGCGTGTGTCAGGGTTTGGGGTTTCGGCCGACAGCTGGGTGTTTAGGAGCCTGCAGGAAAAGGGTTTGAGGGTTCTCAGAGCAGTTCCTGCTGGAAGACCATCAACTAATTAATAAGCAGTCGCAGCAGGCAGGCCAAGGACTGAAGGAAGTGAGATGTCTTTTCAAGGCAGGGCTGCAGAACATTACACAGATAAATTTGGGAGCCAACGCGGTGGTTTTGCAAGACTCTTTAAAGCTGTGCAAGGTGCTTCAGCTCCCAGATGGTGTAAGGCTGTCCGGAACTGATCACAGAGGTCTAAAGTAAACTAATTTGGGATCATTAAAGTTTGGAAGACCCTTGTTCTTACTTGACGTCAGATATCCAATATGAGGGGAGGAGAAAGAGCAATTTTCAGAGCAGGTTGAAAGCTCAGCATCACCACAGGCATTGTTGGTGTAGCCAGGGACGCTGTCACAACAACTCCTCTTGGTTACAGTAAGTTTCACAGCCAAAAAAAAAAACCCAAAACAAGTGAGAACAAGGCTAGCCTGGTTCCCTGTGTTTTTCTTCTAGACTCAGGGCCTTGTCTTACTGCCTTTTAGCTACCTGGTGATGCCCTACATGCGGACAGATTTACAAAAGATCATGGGACATGAATTCAGTGATGAAAAGATCCAGTACCTGGTCTACCAAATGCTGAAAGGGCTGAAGGTAGGTGGGTATGGAGGAGTTTAGTGACTCCCCGTGTCTCCTCTATGCGTCACCTCTGGGTTGACCATAACCAACCCCCCTTCCAACATGGTATGGGAAGATTTGGGGGTTTGTTCTCAGGGGCACTCCCTGAGAATAGATATTTGCTGTTGAACTACTCTTGTTCCAGCACACATCAGTAAAATGACTGTTCTCATCAGTCACCCGGGTATGGGAGCAATTGGCAGTCAGAGACCTTGTGACAGTTCTCCTGTGACAGCGGTTGTGTCACTCTCTGACTTGCCCAAGCCCTCAGCAAAATTCCATGTGAAAAGGAAGAGGCTGGTAGCAAAGGGAGCCTCTGCTGAATTCCTAACAAGCTCTCAGGGGAGAAGACAGAGGGGATGATTTTCTATTCAATAGGATAAGGAAGGGCCATGCTGCCGTAGCTGGCTCTGGGAGAGCAGAGAGCAATTGCTGCAAACCCTGCGATGTGGAGACAATGTCTTACTGCTGCCCTCTGATATTGTCACCTGGAGTCAGAGCAGTGGCTTAAGGCACTAACAAGTTCACCTTAATCACACCTTTCCCCAGATCACTGTTATCTTGAGTTTAAATAATGGGGGGGAGAACACACAGAAGGTTTAACTGGTGTGATAACAGCCAGATAGTCAGCTTTTGCAACTTGAATCTGATTTCCAATTTTGTGGTTTAATGATTTTTTTTCCCACGTGGTTTAAACACCCAAACCAACAAAGTTCTCCTGTCCTCTGCTCACCATATTCCTACCTGTAATCCTGATGCCTTTTATAGTTTGAAGCTATTAGTGCACTTGCTCTAATGAACTATTGCTCCCTACGTCCTCTCCTGCTCTGTGTCACCTCTTTAGAGAGGCCACATAACAGCAAATACTGTCAGGAATTCAGCGTGGAGATTTCTTTTTCAATATGCTGCTCTGGGGGCTGGGGACAACCCGAGTTGTGTCCTCCGCAAGGTCTTGTTTGTAGCCCTCGTTTCTCTGCTGGTGCTCACATTGTGGCTCATCTTTTTATTGCAGTACATTCACTCAGCCGGCATCATCCACAGGGTGAGTTCCTGGGCGCTGTTACTCTGATTTTTGTCTGTTTGGGAGGAACACAGCTGGGTCATAAAGTTAATAAATTCCTTAAACATGGTTTCACTAACAGCCTCCTCTGCTTCTCTGGTGTCCTCCTCCTTTGCCCTCCTACTCCCTGTAGGTGTTTGATTTGCTTATCTGTGCAGCATTTTGAGGAAATGTTGTGTTTTCTGATGAGCTGAGAAGCAATTTATGGTGCTTTCTTGTCCCGGTTTGCCTGCCGGTGACATCATCCAGGGAGCTTGATACAGTTTTGTATATATTGTATCTATTTCATTATTTCCATTTTAATTTTCATATTTCATTAGAAGTAGTTTAGTTCATTCTAAACTTGTAAATCTCTTTATCTCTCTCCCTTTTTCTCCTGGAGCAAGAAAGTGGGGGGAGAGTATCTGTTGCCATCATAGGCCAATTCAGCCTAAACCCTGCCATTTCTAAAATAAAACTGTTTCAGGAACAAATAAAATAGTAATCTAAAGCTTCAGGGTATAGCAGGCAAGGTGTCCTTGCTGTATCAACACTGGGCTTGCGATGTTATGGGATCCCATCAACGGGGAGCCGAGGTTGGGGTGAGGCTCATGTTGATGCGTTTGCAAATTAAAACATCCTTATTATTCTGCTTTTGTCTGTGGTAGGACCTGAAGCCAGGCAACCTGGCTGTGAACGAAGACTGTCAGCTCAAGGTAGGTGGAAAAGCAGCATGTAGCATATCAGATCAGGGATGAACTGCTCTGCCAGCAGGAATTTGGCACCGTCATGTTTCCTCTCGCCTTCTGAGCCTTGAGTTGAGGCGTTTCATTACTCGGCAGTTGCAGGCAGTGGGAAATACTCACCTGCTGATGTAACTTGCTGAATCAGGGCCCAAGACTTGGAATGAACATCCTGTCGCTGTCATTCCTGTGGCATGGCAGTTGGGAATGTCTTCCAAAATAAATTCAGTACTGCTGAGCAACCCTTGTGTTGGGTGGACGATCCCTGAAGGAGAGCTGGATTCAGCCCCAGTTACCCTTTGGTTCTTGTTGACACGGTGGTTGTGATTCCAGACAGAAGTTATTTTCAGTATTGCTCTGAAGGGTTTGTTCGCAGCTCGCTGGTGTTCCAGCATCTGTTTTCCATAATAAATATCACAGGAAATGGCTCCATGGTCCATAAAGGTGGGGTCAAGCAATGTTCTTCTGCAGTATTGAGGGAGAGGCCACCCCCTGTGAGCCACAAGGTGTTTTTATAGGAAAGGGTGAGTCGGGGTGGCTCCCAGCACGCCTTCGCCCCCAGGTTGTAGAACAACTCAATTAAATAAAGCTCACAGAGTTGAAATGTAAGTGTCGGGAAAGGAAGTGACCTTCTGGGTAGCCCACAGCACTGCTCCTTTTGGCAGGGTCTTCACACAACTGGTTTTGCAGTGGCTTGTAATTTACAGTGGAATTAAGACAAACCTGTTAGTTCTTTGTACCGAGCTGTGGGTGGCTGTGGTGTAGTTGGTGCTTCATTATTATCTGATTGGATCAGCTTCATTTCCTCTTAGAAGTAGATTCTCCCTTGCCCGTAGGATTTCTCTTTGCTTTTCTGCCCTTTCTTCTCCCTTTTCCTTTGCTCAACTGCAGATTCTGGATTTTGGCTTGGCCAGACACGCCGATGCTGAGATGACGGGCTACGTGGTGACGCGCTGGTACAGGGCCCCAGAAGTCATTCTGAACTGGATGCATTACAACCAGACAGGTGAGCTGCCTGGCGTTGGCGGTGTCACCGGTTGGTGACAAACCTGGGGATCCTGCTGTCACGCCTCGGTCAAATCTCACCTCATCCTCCAGATGGTTTTCTTCTTTCTCATTGGCGTCCCCTGGAGCAGAGCGAGTCCCAGAGCTGTTGCTCAACTCCCAAAGCCCAGTGCCTGGGGAAATGATGAAAGCAGAGATTTTTAGCAGCACAGAAAGAACAGGGGAGGGTGGAAAATGGGAGTGAAATTTAAATCAGTGCCTGCTGCAAACAGCAAAGCAACCAACCAACAGCCACAGAACTAATTGCTGCCTTTTACTGTCCTTTTTTTAATCTCTTTTTTTTTAATCCTTTTCTCACTCAACAGTGGATATCTGGTCTATTGGCTGTATCATGGCAGAAATGCTCACTGGGAAAACGCTGTTCAAAGGAAAAGACTGTATCCTTTTGAGCTGAACCTTTTCCCCGGGGGGAGTAATAATTCTTGGGGTGTGTGAAAGGGCTTTTATGAACAAGGTTACTGAGGAAAAACATGTGTCAGTCTGGTTCATCATGAGGTAATCGCAGGGACCAGCCTTTTTGGTGAGGAAAAGAGGGAGAAGACAAGAAGGGATCAAGCCACACTTAGAAATACACCTCTGTTGGATTTGTATCGTAACCTGCTCGTAGCTTCCATGGGCCCTTGGGCTCTCCACGGGCTGATGAGCTGTTGGGGGGTGGCCAGGACTGGCTTCTAGACTGGGTGATCTTTAACGCGGCCCACCAGACCTCGATCAGCTGACTCAGATCCTGAAAGTAACGGGGCATCCAGGAGAAGACTTCGTGGAGAAGCTGGAGGACAAAGCGGTAAGAAAGGTCACTTTGGACACGGGTCTCACTGGCAGAGGTATGGGTGGGGAGGGGTGGACTTGGCTGTGTCTTTGAGATGGAAGAGGTGAATTTGGCCATGTCTTTGAGGGGGGAAAGGTGCCGCTTCTATGACAGCAGCCTGTTCTCCTTGGCAAGGATTATGTTCCTCTGTGCTAGTGGCACATCTGATGGATTTGACATTGCATTGGGAGTTGGTGTGGATTGCAGGGACTCTGGGTGAGGTGCCTGGTGCCGCAGCAAACCACCGACCTCCTCTGTTCTCCAGTTTGGCCCTTAAAGCAGGAATATTTCTGTATCTCAATTGATAAAAGCAGTTCCTTGCAAACTGGTCACTGAAATGTACACTCCTGGCACTTCCCCACCTGCAGTAAATACCCACGCTTTTCTCTCTCTTTCAGGCCAAGAGTTATATCAAGTCCCTTCCTAAAATCCCCAAGATGGATTTGTCTATGCTTTTCCCCAAAGCAAATCCTCAGGGTAAGTCATCTCCAGCATTTCTCAGGAGCTTTCACAGTGGGATGGAGGCAGGCTGACCACCACAGCTCCAGGCTGGATTTTTCCTCCTCTTTCTCATAATTTCTTGCTACTTTTCTCCTTTGCAGGTTGTGCCCCTGCCCCTCCCCAGGGCAAATATATATTAATTAAAAGGAAAATTATTCTTTATTGCTATTACAATGGTGATGTTCTGCTGTTCTTGGCCATGTACTTCTTTCTTCTTCTTTTTTAATTTTAAAATGACACAGCCTATAATGTACAATATTTAAGGAAGAGATAAACTTCCGGCTCTCGTATCAACAAGCCAGAAGAGAGCAGGTGCTGGATATAATGGGATGTTCTCAGTTGTGGGATGCAAATGATGGAATTAGGACGGTTGTAAATATCAGCTCCACTTGGTATGAGAGTTGGGATGAATTTTGGCTGATGTTGGCTTCCAGAGCTTGTTGCTTATAGCCAAGCAGGTGATATTATAAGCAGTAGCATTTAGATAAATAAAACAGCTCTTCTTTTTTCATTATTGTTTCCCAGCTCCACATGTAAGGTTTTGTTAAAGTGCTAAGAGAACCCCACAGCCCCTGCCAGTAATTTATTTATTAATTTTTAGAGTACAGCTTACATCCAGTTTGTTGAATACATTCATCTATTGATATTTAACAGGCAGCTGAGATGTGCAATTTTCATGGTAAAAATTGATCTCTTACAAGGAGCTCTTTTCCCAAGTATGGTAGAGGTGAGAGAGAGCAAAACTCTTCTAAAAGCTGAAAGAAAGAGAGAGCATTAAGATGTTAAAACCGAAGAGGAACAGGGCTGACAGACTGATTGGTATCTGGGTTTCCTGCCTTCCTGTTTACCAGGGATGTATAGATTTCTATATAGATTACTCATGTTAAGATTACTTTGAGTTGCAAGGGTCAGAGTGAAAGCAAATGATTAAAACTGAAAAATATCTTGAAGTTACTGGCTTGCCCTTTATGTTCTTGCAACCCCATCTGTGCAGCAAGGCTTATTTCAGATTAATTTGTTATTTCTGCACAATGTACACCTCCGTTTCTGTAGTAAGAGCTCCCTGAGGCTGCTGTTGAACAGCCTTCACATGCCCACCGACAGGAGCTCCATGCTACCATGGCCAGGTCGAGGAATCTCTTTCTTTTTCATGTCTGGAGAATATAGTGCTGGGAACACTGGTCCGCATGCTTAGCCCTCTTCCTGTCTTCTCCTACAGCAGTGGACCTGCTGGACAAGATGTTGCAGCTGGACGTGGAGAAGCGTCTTACAGCGACGGAGGCGTTGGCTCACCCCTATTTTGACCAGTTCCGAGACATCGAGGAGGAGACAGAGGCGCAAGAGTCCTACGATGATTCTCTGGAACACGAAAAGCTTTCGATAGAAGAGTGGAAAAGTAAGAAGTTTCTCTTCTTTGAGGTTCCCGTCTAGTATGAGACTTTCCTACCTCCCTCCCTTAATGTGCACACGCTGAGCAAGGCTGCAATTGCCTGCTGGTGTCTCCATGATCGTGCACATCTCCCTTCCCTTGCTCTTGCTTTTATGTATCCAGCAAAGATCCCTCCAGCTCTTCAGACAGACTTTTTTTTGTCTCTCTACTTTATCTCTTTCTTCCAGCTTGTACCTGCCATATCCCCTCTGCTGAATACCCCCTCTCTGCACATATAACAGTCAAACTTTAATTTGTGTCCCCTAAAATCACACATTCACGGTTCTTTTGTTCTGTTTTTTCAAGAGCACATTTACAAGGAGATCTTGTCCTTCAGTCCCATCGCGCGGAAGGACTCAAAGAAGCGAAGTGGGATGTCATTGTAGTGACCAGTGCGGCCATGGCTGGGATTCACCTTTCCTGGATGACAGGTTGGATTTACTCCATGCTGCCTTGCCTGGTGGCCATCGCTTGGCCTGTGGGACTTCTCTGGGTGCCAACACAAGAACGACGCTGTGCTGTGGGCACTGGACTTTATTCTGCTGCAGGGGAAGCACGCCAAACAGTTTTCAACACAAAAGATAAATATATTCTCATTGAAACTTTAACTGGGAGAATTTTACCTGGTGTTTCTTTATTATTTTTTTTCTCATATTTGTCCACTTGAGAGAGCAGGGGTTTCATTGCTCTCTTCTCATTAGTCCTTCCAAGCACAGGTTTTAGTTTGTTAATTATGGATAAGGTAAAGAAAAAGGGTAAAATTGTCTGGGAAGGTGACTCCTAAGCAAAATAAGTGAAATTCAGCATAACAAGACTTTATCCAATCTGAGTGCAGTCAAGCAACGTCCAGCACAGCAAGGCTGCTGGGACAGTGTCGGTGCCAGGATGCTGTGGGAATCCAGTCGGTCATGGGACAGGTCTGTGTTCAGAGGCAGCTCCCAACCCTTGCCATACACACAACTCCCTCTGCACAGCCGCTGCCTCCTCTTTCTTTGCTCTGTTTGTTTAATTCCCTGGGTTTTGATCAGTGCCGTCTCCTCCTGCAGTTAGTGCTGCAAACACATCCTGGGAATTCAAGGCCATTTCCCACATTGACAGACAGGGTGTCCCATGGAACTGGGTTATAATCCACCAGTCCTGCTGCTCTCCCTTTCTGCTCAGCCTGGTTTCCCCAATGGTTCTCCCTCCACCACGCTTATCTCTGGCCGAACATCCTCTCCCTGGAGTCACCCCACTACCCGCTCCAGGCTGCCTTTATCTCCCTCACCCCATATATTCTCATACCTTCTGCCCCACGGGATCAGTAAAACCAGGGATCCTCTGCTTTGGTTCTCTTTAACGGCTGCTTGTTCCTCAAAATGCAGAAACATCTAAAAAGATGATTGGGAAAATAGTCAATTGTCAGGCTCAGCTCTCAAAGTAATTGGAAAAAAAAAAAGTTCATATAATGGGGGGAAAAAAAGCAGCAAAGTATGTTGCATGAACAATCAAGTATTAGCAGAAAGAGGAACACAATAAATCAACTCAGTGGTCACAGAAAATAAATTCAGATATCTTAGTTTTTCGGTATCAGATTGGCTCCTTCAGTCTACACCTAAAATAATCTTATTAAATAGAACATCTCACAAAATCCAGTACAGGCTAGAAAACATCCTTGTGAGAAAGAGCTCCACGGTTTCCCTTTATTGCACTTTCATTGAGGTTTTGCATTTTGTATTTGTCTATGCAAATTTTAATGCATTTCCTTATTTAGTGAGTAATTCTTGGTAGCTACAAGGAATTACTTTCTCTGAGATGCTGGGAGTCCCCGTGTGTGACGGAGTTGGACAGTGTGGTGCTCCTGGGCAGAGTGTGTCCCAGCCAGCCCTTCTTTAGTAGGTGTGGAGTTTTATAGGAGATGAAAAACAACATGATAATCTCTTTTTTTTTGCTCCTGGATGTGGACAAGAAAAAGATATAATATGAGAAAATCCAGACAACTTGCCTGGGTTTAATTGCTTTGGAAAGATGTTTGAGACATCATCGTGATAAAAGAGCATGATACATAAACAGGAGGAGGCTGTTTTATGACCAGCCAGTCACCTGGGCCCTCCCTCCAGGGAAAGTTTGTTCCATCTTTTGCTTCTACAGTATGTTAAATAGTTCATTCGAATTTAAAAGTATGTTTTGATCTTTAAAGTAATTTGATGTACTGGCAGTATACTGATATCATCTGAAGGCTGGCAGTTTTTGATGCGGATGTGTCACCGTGTCCCAAGCCACCACTCCAGGACATAAGTGTTTGCTAGAAATGTTACTACCCTGAGAACGGAGATGAAAAATAATTCAAGAACAAAACAAGTGAATGGGAGCTGAACGTAGCTGTGGTGTTATTACAACTGTGTCTGCAGGTTCTTGCCTTGGTGAGTTTGGGTCTCATCTAAGAGTAAACGGAGTGTAATTTATCCCCAGGGTGGTGATAGTCCAGGATAGCAGATGCGGAAGAAAGGGCATTTTGGGGAATAAAGGGACTCCCAGATAGTTTCAAACTCTGATACTTTTCTTATGTAAATTCCTGGGTCTCTTTCTAATTCATCTTGATGATCTTGTAGACAATACCCCTCATTAGTCCTTCTGACATACATCCCAGATGCACTTGTGTGGCTTATTCTAAAGCAAGTAACTGCTTGGTCTTGACCAGTGGTACCTGAGTTGAGTCCAGGAGATTGGACAGTATTTTTTTGATAATTTTTTTCCTTCCTCCTCTGTGCTTGGAAATTCTCATTATCCATATATTAAACAGTTAATTGCCAGAGTTTCCTAAGTACAATGGGGTTTCTGGGGGCTATTTATCCCTCTTTGCAGTGCTACAGAATAGATTTTTAATTTTTTTTTTCCCCTCTGACAGGCCTTTATTCCTGCTCAAAATATGAATGAATATGCTTCACTCCCACAAAAAAATCTTTAAATATGTATTAGGACACCCCCCAACCTGTTACATATTCCCTTTAACACCACATTGGTTAATAATTACAGTCCTAGAAGTGCTAATTGCTAACCCAAAATGTATGGAGGTACTTAGAAAAAAGAAAAAAAGACCTAATTTTCTGCTGGTTATAGGCTGATCAGGATACAAGTGCGCAGCCATCTATACAGAGAGATTCACTAATTGGGCATCTACCTGCAGCTTTGCTGATGGGTGGAAGTTGTTAGTGTTAGAATGAACTCTAATAAACCTCTGCATAGGTTACGAATTATAGAATTGTCTGGGTTGGGAGGGACCTTTAAGATCATCGAGTCCAACCATCAACCCAACTCTGATAAAAACCATCACTAAACCATGTCACTGAGCACTATGCCAACCCGTCTTTTAAATCCCTCCAGGGATGGTGCCTCAACCCTGGGCAGCCCATTCCAAGGCTTAATAACCCCTTCTGTGTAAAAATTGTTCCTGATATCCAATCTGAACCTCCCCTGGGGCAACTTGAGGCCATTTCCTCTTGTCCCATTGCCTGTTCCTTGGGAGAAGAGGCTGACCCCCCCCCCGGCTACACCCTCCTTTCAGGGAGTTGGAGAAAGCGAGAAGGTCTCCCCTCAGCCTCCTTTTCTCCAGGCTGAACACCCCCAGCTCCCTCAGCCTGTCCTCATAAGACTTCTTCTCCAGACTCCTCACCAGCTTCATTGCCCTTCTCTGGACCCGCTCCAGCTCCTCAAAGTTAGTGCAGAGACGATCCCAAGCAGTAACAGAGCCGTGATTCACTTGGGTTCAATACCTTCTGCTCAGGCTTATGCCATTGGTCCCTTTTGCGGGGTGTCCTGGGAAGCTGCCAAGCATGAGGCTCACCAGCAGCGACACAGGTTTGTCAGATATAAAACAATGTAAAAAAATATGTACACAAAAATAGATCTGTTTAGGACCTACAGTTTTCCCCTACAACTACAGGTCCTTGGTTGCCAAAGAGCTCTTAAGATCTCTTGCTGATGTATTCTGACTGCAGTTGACAACAAAAAACTATAAATACTTCTAAATTGCAAAACCATTCCAAATCCTTTCCTGTACATGCACAGACCCACCCTGCAACCCAGAGGTGTGACTGCCACTCATGCAAGTGTATCTCAACTAGCTTTAATAGTAGAGTTTGTGAAGCAACAAGGAGCTCAGCACACATTAGCCGGAATATTTACTCGGGATCTTCAGAAATTAGCCAAATCTGATGTCTCTGCAGATCCACATCTTATTGATATAGTCACTAGATATTTCACCGCTAAGCAGGTACGGCTGTTAGTTGTCATAACGCCTTTGGACTGCAGCATAAATATCTTCCTAGTTGGCATCTCCCTCCCTATCACGATCAGTCGGGTCCAGCCAGTCATTCCAAGGTCCATCCCAAGGGACATGTGCCAAGAGACAAGTGTCTTCGTTGTGCGAGAGCTCAGAGCACACTGTCCCCAGGGCTACGGAAAAGCTTTTGGTGAGAAGGTGTCTGAACTCAGCAATATATGCAGATATTTCTCAACTCTCCACCCCTTCTGCAGCTGCTGAGTCACTTTAGTTTGGTTTAGCCAGGACGTACGCTTTCGGTTCTCCCTCATTTTCTTCTTTGCCTTAAGTGATACCCGGTTTTGCTGCACAGACCTCAAATAAGGGAAAATTGCAACAGTACCAGAATTTTCTGAGCTCTCATCCCCACTGGGAACCGGATAAGGTGACATTGTGTTTCTTGGCTGTGTCTCCGTTGCAGCTCGTGCAGAGCTCGGGATAACCCTGCAGCGGCTGGAGCTTTTCGATAGGAGGCTGTTGATGTTATCTTGGCTCAGCCGCGCAGATGCTCCGTGCTGATGAGGTGTCTCTTGGCTCGTATCTTTCTGGGCCATGTACACTCGTAGGTAGGGACAGGGAGCACAAGACCCTTGTGATGTTCCCACACTTCCCTTGAAATTCAACGGTTTTGTTATGAAGTACTCCAAAAAACTGGGCTGGAGGCCCTGCATGGTGCCCTGCTGGCTCTGTCTTGAAGAACTCTCTTGATGAGAGCAAGGGACCATCCTTTTTTCTTCCTCAGTGTGAGACAACCTGTGTTTTCCTTGAGCAGCGGAAGGGAAAAGTTCCAGCTGCGTCGGTCAAACAGCAGCTGAAATATTGTCCTTTTGAACCTGGCATTTGACTTGGCTGCCATGTCCTCTGTGTAATCTTTAACAGAGGTCAGAGAGGAGCTCTCAGCAGCTGCCGTGAGCCCCTTGGAGAGCTGCAGACCTTTAGAGCTGGCTCTGCCTTGGTAAAATGAGGTTTGGTGGTCAGCAGAGGAGGGTCATCATCTAGGTGGGTGTGTGAGAACACACAGGGAGATGTCTCAGGACGGTGGGTGAGGCAAACCGGCCTCTGGACTACATGTAGCTATGGATATAGAGAAGCAGAAAAGTCCTAAAAGCTTAGTCTTCTAAAGAAAAAGTGAGTAAATTCTTGGAGACTTTTGGAGTATAGAGCTTTCTTTCAGAAATTCATCTTTTAAGGTGAAGAACCCATTCAGAGTTGATAAATCACTGGAAATGGGAATTTAGCGTGTGATTTCTTAGTCATCTTGCCCCTTGTGAAAAGGGGACAGGCAGACCTGAGTGAGGGGGGTTGGAG